CAGGGCCATCAGGGACACCAAACTGACCCCAGGGACACTAAACTGACCCCAGGGCCATCAGAGACACCAAACTGTCCCCAGAGCCATCAGGGCCACCAGGGCCACCAAACTGTCCCCAGGGCCACCAGGGCCACCAAACTGTCCCCTGGGCCATCAGAGACACCAAACTGTCCCCAGGGCCATCAGGGACACCAGGGACACCAAACTGTCCCCAGGGCCACCAAACTGTCCCCAGGACCACCAAACTGTCCCCAGGGCCACCAGGGACACCAAACTGTCCCCAGGGACACCCCCAGGGCCACCTCGGGCAGGTCCGACATCGTGTCCCGCACCGTGATGGTGCGGAAAGGCCCGGAATATGTCCTGGGGGAGGGGAAATGGCAGTCACCAGGGCCACCAAACTGTCCCCAGGGACACCAAACTGTCCCCAGGGACACCCCCAGGGCCACCAAACTGTCCCCAGGGCCACCAAACTGTCCCCAGGGACACCCCCAGGGCCACCTCGGGCGGGTCCCACATCGTGTCCCGCACCGTGATGGTGCGGAAAGGCCCGGAATACGTCCTGGGGGAGGGGAAATGGCAGTCACCAGGGTCACCAGGGCCACCAAACTGTCCCCAGGGACAACCCCAGGGACACCTCGGGTGGGTCCCACATCGTGTCCCGCACCGTGATGGTGCGGAAAGGCCCGGAATATGTCCTGGGGGAGGGGGGATGTGAGTCACCAGGGCCACCAAACTGTCCCCAGGGACACCAAACTGTCCCCAGGGACACCCCCAGGGACACCAAACTGTCCCCAGGGCCATCAGGGCCACCAGGGCCACCAAACTGTCCCCAGGGCCATCAGAGACATCAAACTGTCCCCAGGGCCATCAGAGACATCAAACTGTCCCCAGGGCCATCAGGGCCACCAGGGCCACCAAACTGTCCCCAGGGCCATCAGAGACATCAAACTGTCCCCAGGGCCATCAGGGACACCAAACTGTCCCCAGGGACACTAAACTGTCCCCAGAGCCATCAGGGCCACCAAACTGTCCCCAGGGCCATCAGGGACACCAAACTGTCCCCAGGGACACCAAACTGTCCCCAGGGCCATCAGGGCCACCAGGGCCACCAAACTGTCTCCAGGGACACCAAACTGTCCCCAGGGACACCAAACTGTCCCCAGGGCCATCAGGGCCACCAGAGCCACCAACCTGTCCCCAGAGCTGTCCCCAGGCTGATGGTGGCCCCTGGGCAGGGGGGAGGGGACCCTGAGCCACCAACCTGTCCCCAGAGCTGTCCCCAGGCTGATGGTGGCCCCTGAGCCCCCAGGGCCGCTCACCTGGTGATGTTGCTGACGAACTTCTTGTCGTCCACCACCACGCTGAGCTTGCAGGCGCGGGGGGCGAAGACGTGCAGGGGCTCGGGGAACATCGGCAGCTTCTCCCCGGGGGCCGCAGCCAGCACGATGGCCCGGCGGCGGGTCTGGGCCACCCCGTACTGCCCGGCCTGGGGGGGGACAGGGGGGGACAGGGGACACCTCCTGAGGGTGCTGGGGGGTCACCTGGGCCCAGTTTGGGCCACCACGGACTGCCCGGCCTGGGGAGGGACAGGGGGGGACAGGGGACACCTCCTGAGGGGGCTGGGGGTCACCTGGGCCACCCCAGCCTGGGGGGGACAGGGGGGGACAGGGGGGGACAGGGGGGGACAGGGGACACCTCCTGAGGGGGCTGGGGGGGTCACCTGGGCCCAGTCTGGACTGCCTGGCCTGGGGTGGGACAGGAGGGGACAGGAGGGGACAGGGGGGAACAGGGGACACCTGTCCCCAAAAAAACCCCGATTTTCCTCCTTAACCCCCAAATTTCCCCCCAAAACCTCCAAATTTCTCCCTAAACCCCCCAAAATTCCTCCCAAAACCTCCCCCACCTGCAGCACCCCGAAGGTGCACTGGGAGCCCACGCGGACAGAACAACCAAGTTCTGCTTTGAAGGACCATTTCCCCTTCAAAAAATGGGGTGTTTTTTTCCCAAAAAAACCCCAAATTTCCCCCTAA